GCCTCCCTTTATGATCAAAACACTTAACAAAATTGGTATAGAAGAAAAGTACCTAAACATAATGAAGGCCATAAAGCACAAACCCTCAGCCAGCATTTACTTAATGATGAAAAACTAAAACCATTCTCTCTAAGATCAGGAACAAAGCAAGGCTGTCCATTGTCGCCACTGTTATTCAATATAACTTTGGGGAGGGTCCTAGCGAGTGCAATCAGACAAGAGAAAGTTATAAAAGACAGCCAAAGAGGAGATGAAAAAGTTGAACTGTCATTATTTGAGGATGACTTGATTCTCCATGTAGAGAATCTTGATCATTCCACAAGAACACTACGAGAAACAATAAGCAAATACAGAAAAGTCTGTGGATACAAAAGTCAATGTTTAAAAATCCACAGCGTCCCCATACTCTAATAATGAACCATGAGAGAAAGGAGTGGTAAAAGTAATTCCTTCTGCAATTGCAACAAAAAGAATAAACTACCTAGGAATAAATTTAACAAAACATGTGAAGGAACTATATAATGAAAACTACATTACCATATTAAAAGAAATCAAAGAACATACAGAAAAATGGAAAGATATTCTGTGTTCTTGAATTAGAAGAATCAACATAGTTAAAAAGACCAAATTACCTAAAGCGTTGTACAGATTTAATGCAATGATGATAGAAATCCCATGGACATTTTTTAAAGAAATAGAATAAAAAATCTTCAGATTTTTATGGAAGCACCAAAGACCACGAAATGTCAAAACCATCTGGAGGAAAAAAGAATGAGGCTGGAAGCATTGCTCTGCCCGACTTCAAATTAAATTACAAAGCAACAGTCATCAAAACAGCATGGTATTGCAGCAAAACAGACACCTGGACCAGTGGAACTAAAAAGTTTGCTTAGTAAAATAAATCGTCAACAAAGTAAGGAGACAACCATCTCAATGGGAAATATATATTTGCAAGCAATGCCACCAGTAAGGGCCTCCTATCTAAATATACAAAGAACCCATATGACTTAATAACGACAAAAACCAAATAATTCAATCAAAAACTGGGCAGAGGACCTAAACAGACAGTTCTCCCTAGAAGACATACAAAGGGCTTATCATCATGAAAAGATACTCCACATTGCTAGATATTAGGGGAATGCAAATTAGAACCACAATGAGATGCCATCACACACTTGTTACAATAGCTATTGCCAACAGGACAAATAATAAATGTTGGAGAGGCTGTAGAGAAATAGGAACACTCATACACAGCTGGTGGGATGGAAGATTGGTCCAGCCACTTGGGAAAACAGTATGGAGCTTCCTCAAAAAGAAATTGATCTACCATATAGCAATGCAATCCCTCTCCTGGGTATTTACTGCAAAGACTTGAAAACTCACATCCGTAAAGATATTTGCACACCGATGTTCATAGGAGCATTATTCGGTCAGCCAGGACATGGAAACAACCAAGTGTCCTACGACAGATGATTGGCTAAAGAAGTTATGGTACATATATTCAATAGAATGTTACTCAAACATAAGAAGAAATAAAATGCTGCCATTTGCCACAGCATGGATGGACCTCGAGATAATCATGCTAAGCAAAATCAACACACCA